GGGTGGGGGTGGGGGTGGGCTTTTACCGCAAGCGGGTGAGGGATCAGAGCTGGGGAGGCAGAGCGCCGGCACGGCTTGGGTTGTGGGATCGCCGGCCAGCCGGCCGGGTCACCGACCAGCCTCCGCAAGCTTTGCCGACAAAGCCAGCAACCGGCACAAAGCGCGACGGCCGCCGCGCGCAGGCCGCCAACGGGCCGCCCCGGCGTCCTCGCCAGGGGCGTGCGCGCCTCTGCCCGCGAGGGCCGGACGGCGTGCCGCTCACCCGCGAAGTCGGCGTCCGAGTGGTTGAAGAGCAGCACCTTGAGCTCCCCCCGGTAGTCCTCGTCCACCACGCCCGCCCCGGTGTCGATGAAGTGCTTCGCCGCCAGCCCCGACCGCGGCGCGACGCGGCCGTAGGTGCCGGCCGGCACCGCAATGCGGAGGCCGGTCGACACACAGTGCTTGCCACGCGCGGGGATGATGCAGTCCTCGGCGCTGCGGGCGGAGGGGGTGACAGGGAGGGGTAAAAGTGTGTGTGCGTTTGCAACACGGGTGCGGCGAGAGTGCGGCGGGGGCGGGTCGAAGGGCGCGTGATGTGATTGATCGCCGCGACGTTTGAACAGCGGTTGGCGCCAGATCAGATCGCACCTGGAGATGTCGTATCCGGCGGCCTTGGCGCTGCCGCGAGTTGGCAGGGTGGCGTTGCTACTGATGCGCTGCACGCTGAAGGACTCGGGGGTCTCCGGCGCGAGGCGCGGCTGCTTGGTGGGTGGCTCTGCGTCGCTGCAGCTGGGCGCAACGTTCTCAGGGAGGGCCATAAGAACCTGCATGCTGCCGGTGCGGGCCTTCGAAGCGTACGGCCTACTCAAGATAATAGATGAGCCGGCTAAAGCGCGCTGGATACGGGCGATAGAGGACGGGGCGCGCCAAAACGACGATCTAGCCAGCATGCAAAGCTTGATGGAGGTCGTTATACCGAATGTTGTTTGGCCAAACTTTGTGATTGTCGGGCGCCGTCTGTGCGCCAGCGAGCGCATGCCATTCGGCATGCGTGTTGTGGAGGTGTGGACAGCAGGTGACTACGTCTGCGTCTGGTGCTTCTCGCCACGTTAGCCAGGATCCATTTCAAAGGGCCTCCTGTGCAACCCTCTTGCTACATGCGTTGATATTATTCATACGTTACTTTGTGCACTCATCTCTGTTCATCCACTGTTCGTCACTGCGTGGGACCCTGCAGGGCCGAAGCACAGGCAGCCATGTACAGGAGGGAGGCGCTCTCGCGTCTCAAGCAATGGGCCTTACTTATAGAGCAGCGCACTGGAGCGGTGGAGCAGATCATCCCCTATAATGGCTCCACGCTGGCAAGAGGCCTTCACGGCAGCTCCCTCCAGCCGCTAAGGTTCAATGCAGCCGCTTTCAAGAGCTTTGGACCGTCCAGCGGAATTCTTCCCAGGCCCGCGGTGGGTGTGGTGGCGCGCGCCACTGCTGCTGCTCATGCTGCTCCTTGGCTGTGGTAATGCCGCGCCCGGGCGGCGCCTTCCTTCCGCCAATCAACTCCCGCTTCCACTTCAAAAGCGTCTGCCTCTTTGGTCGATCGCGGCGTGGGCCGCAATAGCGCGCTGACCTGTCGCGGGGCCCTCCTAATGCAGGGCTGGACGCAGCTGGGGGCGGCCGCCAGGCGGGCCTTTTCGGACAACGCCCCCAAGAGTGAGCGGCGGCCGCCGCTGCTGTAGGGAGGCACAGATCTTGTAGGATGGCGCTGACGCCAGCGGCGCCGACGGCGGCACGCAGTTGCCTGGTGTGCTGCCTCGACCACTCATGCGACCTTGTATCCCACCCACCTTGTCATGCTGCCGGCAGCGCGTCGCCCCCGTTGCGCCCGTCCAGCCCCGACGCCCATTCACCTCAACCCCCCACCGCCCCACCCACGTCCCACAGGCTTCAAGAACTTCTACCCGAAGGGCTCAAAGCCCGGCGGCGCCCCCGGCAAGGCGGCGGGCGAGTCCCCCAAGCCGGGCGGCGGCGGTAGCGGCGGCAATGGCGGCGGCGAGAAGCCGGAGAGCCCCCAGCAGGCGGAGCTGAACATGAGGAACAACATCGGGCTGGCGCTGCTGCTGACGGCGGCGTACACGGTGTACTCTGTTTTCGCAGACAATGGCGGCCGCCGTCCGCAGGTGGGCCGGGGAGGGGGGGCGTCAGTGCTCTTTTGGGGGCCTGGGAGGCTGTGGGGGGCCAGGCAGGATGGCGAGGATGGCGGTGGGGTGTTCCGCGCCTGCTTTTTGACAGGCCAGTGGCAGCGCGGCCGGCCGGCGGTCCCCGGCTCTGCGCCCGCGTGCACGCGCGCCGGCAGCGGCGCGAACGGCACTCCAAGGGCCGGGCTGCAGCACGATATCGCGCATGAGGCCAGGCGGCGGCCCCGTGCACGCGGGCGGCGTCGTGCCACCAATGCGCACGCGGCGCCCCGACCCCCGCGGGCTGTCCTCTGGCTGGCCCTTAAAACCCGGAACCCCTCCCGGCCCTCTCCCCCTCCCCCTCTGTTCTCCTATTCCTCAGGAGATCTCTTTCCAGGAGTTCAAGTCGCAGCTCCTCGCCCGCGGCGCCGTGGCCCGCCTCGAGGTCGCAAACGGCACCACAGTCCGCGTCTACGTCAAGACCCCCTCGTCCTCCCTCGCGGCCCCCGCCGGCGCCGCCGCTGGCGCGGCCGGCGCCGCAGCGCCGGAGGCCTTTTCGATCGACGCGCTGCCGTCCGCTGGCGGCGGCGCCGGCGGCGCCGGCGGG